AACTACACAGACATCTCAGGAAAATAACATACACACTACACAGACGTCTCAGTAACACCATATGGACAAGTGAAAAGAATCACAAACGTATATAACAAACTACACAGACATCTTAGGAAAATAATATACACACTACACAGACATCTCAGTAATACCATATAGACAAGTGAAAAAAACCACAAACATACATAACAAAGTACACATACATCTCAGGAAAATAATATACACACTACACAGACATCTCAGTAACACCATATAGACACGAAGATATATTAAAAAACTACACAGACATCTAAGGAAAACGACACAGACAACTCTGGTAGCCTCAAACGTATAGACATCTCAGCAAAATAAGATACACACTACACAGATGTCTCAGTAACACCATATAGACAAGTGAAAAGAACCACACGTATATAACAAACTACACAGACATCTCAAGAAAATAATATACACAGTACACAGACATCTCAGTAACACCATACAGACAAGTGAAAAAACCACAAACATATATAACAAACTACACAGACATCTCAGGAAAATAATATACACAGTACACAGACTTCTCAGTAACACCATATAGACAAGTGATAAAAACCACAAACGTATATAACAAACTACACCGACATCTCAAAAAGACATCTGTCAAAAACTTAGACATCTGAAAATGCCATACATACAACTGAACAATGCCATACAGGCAACTCTCAATTCGTGTACAGACATGTGCATAGTGCACTCTCAAATCGTGTACAGACAAGCGTACAAGAACACGCTACACAGACATCTCACAAATGACAACATTTAAGACCACACTACACAGACATCTGAAAAACCACAAACATATAAGAACACACTGAAAACGGAATAAACAAGTCACTCCAAACATTGTCAAAATCTGAACATGAGAAAATACGGTTTTACTCAAAACAAAAAACACATTATACACTACAAAATGGTAAAAATCAAGCAAATTGACATAATAGCATATACACAGGCTGAAGTAAACTTCAACTAATTCATGCATGTCAATAGTTCACTGAAATACAACCAAGAACAAACATAAACTCAAAAATACAAGGGCTGGCCTCCTAAAAAAATTAACTCCAAAATTTACTCAGAAATAAACTTAGAACAAGGTTTAAAAAATTACCTTTGAGCCATTTCCGTCAATGAAGTGCGAACCATTTCCTCGCCGTCAAGGGACCGTCTGACTTTCGTAGTTCCGCGCAGACGCCGGAGGAAGTAGCGACGGACTTCGATGGAGAGGGGGAGCGCTGAACTTCGATGGAGAGGGGGAGCGCCGAACTTCGGTCGATGGAGGGAGCGAAGGAGTGGTATGGGGAAGCAAACGGGAGAGTGGGATGCGGGAAAGAGAAGAACGGGGGTGCACGCTTGAGAGGGGGATGTCGGTTTATTTTTTGGGAGACTCAAATTAGGGGTGGGGGTTAAATGGATTGGAAAAGGGAGGGGGTGGGCTTTTTATGATGTGTAGTGCTGTGTACACTGTTGTGTACACATAGCATTACCCATCATATAATCACTTACGAATGATGTACTACGTATAAAGGAGTGTTTGCATAAGCTTCTTTTATGAAGTCATATAAAAGCGCTTATTTTATTAATGAAAGGCTCTGCTAAAAGCAACAAGTTGTCACCCAAAAGGAGTTTGTCGTCAAATTTGTCATTGGTTTGTAAACTTTGTGGCCATTTTATAGGAAAATGGATGTCAATCAGATCTTATCACCAAATTCCATGTCCCATTCTCCATTTTCTATAGCGATGGTAGCTAGTATTCGACAAAAATTTAGCCTCGAATTTCATGATTAGACTGGTGATCTGCTTGGAGCCTTGGATCCTCTAATGAATCACCAATCTATAAAATACTCCGTATTACTACGTACCACGTAATAAATATTCTAAGGAGTGTTTGCAACTGCTTCTGCTTAAAAAATGCACTTTTGGAGTGATTTGGAGAAAGTGATTAGTAGTAAAAGTTGATGGTGTTTGAGAAAAAAGTGATTTCGAAAAGTAAAAGTTGGCAGTGTTTGGTAAAATAAGTGTTTTTTGTGTAATAGAAAAGCGAAAAGCACTTTTCACACGAAAGCCGAGAAAAGTAAAACTTGGTAGTGTTTGGTAAATAAGTGCCTTTTATGTCTTGTACAACGTGTTTGGAGCTTGATAAATACTCCGCAGGAAGTAGTAGCTCGTCCCTAAATGAAGTTCCCGATTTGATTTACACATATTTATATAAGATAGATTTTTGTTATGATTTTCCAAATTTACTCTTATTATATGTCAAATCAAGAAAATGTAAGTGATTTTCTTTTATAGAAATGAGAACTTCTGTTTGAAACATCCATAAAATGAAAGTGAACACTTCTTTGGAACGTCTGTCCTAAATGTTTTTTCGCACTTTTTCTAATTAATACCATCGTTGAGTGAATTTCATATATACTTCATTACTCCATAGTTTGTTCCAACAAATTCATGTCTCATTATATTCCTCTTTTTCTTAATTTCTTTTCAAGACTTTATGCCACTTGCTATAATTCTTTTCTACTATATCACTGACATTTTTTTATATTTGAAGTTTAATTTTTTTTCAGTACCTCAATTATTGGGTGGAATACACTTTTAGTATTCAATTTCAAAATTTCTCATATTTAGAGCCCGTTTGGTAGCACGAAAATCGGCTGATTTGTCTGATTGTGCTGAAATTTATGAAACTCTAGCTGAACTGGCTGCATCGGCTGATTCTGCTGTTTTAAGAAAAAGATCATTTTTAAAATATACTCCGTATTTTATTAATAAAGTAAAGAAAAATTATATGTAAAATAGCTAAAATGGTCATCTAGAGTAACTTCAGCCAATACAGCCAGAAAAGTAGCTTCAATCTTACTTTTTTCTGCTTATTACACTATTCGGTGCGAAAACAAAATTTACGTGTTTGGTGAAAAAGTTGGCTGATAAGCCTGATAAGCCGAAAAATAGTGTTGTCAATCGGTCTCTTAGTCTCCTGAATATTGTTAAAATAATATACAGTGTATTTTTTGTTGGCAAATCTTTCTAACCTATTATAGTATTTGTTCTGTTAAGGCCAACATCCTTAACAGAACAAATACTATAATAGGTTAGAAAGATTTGCCAAAAAAATATGTTTAGTCTCTCCCATATGGTTTTGACACAATAAGTGGATCACTAAAGGTATCACTATGATAATAGTTTGAACGATCAAAAATATCACTTTTATGAAATTCAGAGGACTAAATATGAAAAATTTTAAAAACGGATACCAAAAGTGTCTTACGCAAAATGTTCAGAGGATTAAAAGTAAAAAAGAAATTAAAGTTGAGTATAAAAAATGACACTGACCCAACAATGATGGGAGGATTAGAAGTGTCAAAACTCTTCTTTTGAGAGTACCAAACGTGGCGTTAAAATCGATGTGGATCAGAAGTGCTTGAAAAGGAAACAGGTTGAATTACATCCCTGACCTGCCGATCAAATGGAAACCATGTTTGGTTGTCTATCATAAATTTGTGCTATAGACTTCCATCCACCACCCATCTCCATTCTTAATGGCGCCGAACTCCAATTCAAGCTTGTGATTTCCAGTTATACTTAACGTACATTATTTTAATCCAATCATCCTTGCCCCCCTTACCTTTACAGCCCAGGAATTGAAGGACATTTGCTCACCAGTACTTTTATGTTCATATTCGGCCTCCAAGTCAGGTTTGCCGAAACAAAAGAAGCTTCAAAAAAGATGTGACATTTAATAATGGTATAAGTTTTAAATTTTGGTCAGAGCAATGTCAATTGAGGTGATTTCTTTTGTTTTCTTTTTGGTAATAGGGAGTATGTTTTTTGAGTTAGGGTTTCATAAAAAGTAGACAAGATTTTTGTACGTTTCTTTGGAATATTTATTTGATTTATCATATATTAAGATTATATACTTCGTACGTAGTATTAATAAGTGGCACTTTGAATCCCTTGCTTTTCCCCCAACTAATTTTAACGTTAATTTTGTGTGTGTGAAGATGAGTAGAAATAATTACAAAAATATCACTAGTTACTAGAGTAGTAATGAAATCATAGTAATTCATGTTTAAGTTTTGAATTTAAGTTACCACAACATGCACTACGTTGTAATAATAAATAGTAGTATTATGTAAATAAGTTTTATTTTAGTAATATTCTTGTAAAAAACTCAAGATAGTATGACTCAAAATCAAATATACTATTTAATTACCATCCAATAAAATCACATTATTGAAGTATTTAATGAACTTTTATAATTAATATGAACATCAATTATGTTTAAAACTAGCTTAGCGTAAGGAACAATATAATCAACTACAAAAATAATATAAATAATGACGAATACATGGCGTAAACGATAGCCATTGATAAAAATATCACCACCTCCCTCTCCCATTTTATATGTCTTATTTTGATTTGACATAATTATTAATGATGTGGTTGAAAATCAAAAGTTATGGTTGAGAATTGAGAATAATAAAATTAAATGCTTTTAACCATATTTTTCTTTCAAAAAGGAAATGTGACACCAACTTTGGAACAACCCAAAAAGAAAAGTAAGACATTTATAATAAAACCAAGAGAGTACTTATTATACTTTAGTGACTATAATAATACTCCCTCCGTCCCAGAAAATTCTTCCAGTTTTCCTTTTTGGGCCGTCCCAGAAAATTCTTCCAACTTTCCTAAAAAGGAAACCACTTCATACTAAAAACCCCAATTTACCCTCCACTTTTAAAAATACTCCCTATTGCCTACCCTCTCATTTACCCCATCCGCCTCTCTCTCCCATTTACACCCACTGCCTCCCTCTTTCTCTGTGACTGTCGGTCTCTCTTTCTCTCTCTCTCAATTACTCCAACCGTCTCCCTCTCTCATTTACTTCCATCGTCTCCCCCTCTGTATAATTGCCTCCCTCCCTGTCCCCATCGTCTCACAATCGTCTGGATCTAAACCCCAATAGTCTCACAATCCCTGTTTCGGTACTCCATCCCACCTGCATGGCTCAGAACTCCACGGAAGATGATGGCCTCCTGATAATCCCGGATAGTGAAGACGAGCTTGCAGATGATGTTTGTGAGACGCCGACAGAGGTTGCGAGGGAGATTATTGAAGATGTCATTGTCCCTGACAGTGAAGAGGGTCTTCTTCCGGAGGATGGGGTGGCGTGGGATTCTGTAGACCCTGTATCGGAACTCCATCCAAGGTGCATGGCTCAAAATTCCCCGGAAGAGGATGACCTCCTCATAATCCCAGACAGTGAAGACGAGCTTGCAAAGGATGTTATTGAGAAGCCTACAGAGGTTATGGGGGAGACGGTGGACCCAAATCTGCTCAAAAGACGCAGAGACAACGACATGCATCCTATTCGGAGAAGTCCTCGGTTGGAAGAGTTTCTAAAACTAATGATACCGAAATGGGAAACACGCATGTGGGATGTGGACACAGATTAGGGGAGTTTCTTCCATACCCTATCTTTATTTATGGTTTAATTTGTAATCTGTGTCCTATGTGTGACTTTTGGGGGAAGCAATGATGAAAATTGGTTTTATTGATGTTTAATGTGATGCATGTGGCTTGTATATGGTTGTTTGGTATGAGTAATGGTAGTTATGCATAGGGCTAGACTCGGGCCGGTTCGGGCCCGGTTCGGGCCTGGGCCCGGCCGGGCCTCGGGCCAGGAAAGGGGAGGCCCGAGCCTGAACCGCCGGTGGCCGGTTCCGGGCCAACCGGGCCGGGCCAGGCCAAACCGGCCCAATAATTTTTTTTTTGTTCTCCTATTTAATCCCCTACCCCTCCCCCTCAACCCCAAACCATCCCAAACCACCTCAAATGGCCCAAAATACCTAATCCAACCTAAAACTTAAAAAAATTTCAAAAAAAAAAAATTTAAAATCCGGCCCGGACCGGGCCCGAACTGGCCGGGCCGGTTCACCAAAAGCTGGGCCCGAGCCCGGACCGCCCAGCACCCGGGCCGGGCCAAACCGAACCGGTGGACCCACCGGGCCACGGGCCGGGCCGGGCCAAACAGTGACCGGGCCGGTTCGGTCCCGGGTCGGGCCGCCCGGCCCGAGTCCAGCACTAGTTATGCATACTGTGATATGCATACACACCTTGTGTGTATTGGTCCTTTATGTATACCTAAATGATCCATACTGTCATTGAAGCATCCCTACTGGTCCTTTATGCATACTGTGATAAAAGTAGACCTTATGTGTACTGGTTCTTTATTCAAACTGTGATGAAAGTAGGAGGTCTGTGTTCTGGTTCATTATGCCTGGTATGCTATGATGAAACCCCTATGAATATGGTAGTGTTTGCATACTGTGACCATGCCCTATGATGTGGTAGTGTTTGCATACTGTGATGACCATGCCCCTATGATGTATAGTGTTTGCATACTGTGATGACCATGCCCCTATGATGATGTCGTAGTTTATGCATACTGTGATGCAGAAACAACGTCTTCCAGTTTGTGACTTTGTGTGTGTGGAATGTATGGTTTAATAGTAGTTGTGCAGTATGCTTCTACTATTACAAGATGTCCATTGGTAGTTCAAACTGTAAATGTACCAAAATGATGAAATAATTATGACCATTGGTAGCTCAGTATGCTTCTAGTATTACAAAATGTCTGAGTATGCTTCTACATGTACATTCAGGTCTGAGTATGCTTCTACTACTACAAAAGGTCTGAGCATGTTTATACCACTTCGAAATGTCATACTGTCCTTGAAGTAGTATAATTAAGGCCTTTACAAAAAACAAAAAATATAAGGCCTATACAATTGATCCCAATATCCCCATACTTGGCAGTACATGAACTTCATCACTAAAGATGATGATCATCATCATCATCATCTTCAATTATGAAGTTCCCCTGACTTTTAGTATCCTCTGCTTCTTGCCCTACAATAAGTCTTGTAGCTTCCAAAAGTGCAATATCTACCTCAATTGAAATTGGAAGTCTCCCTTCTGCCTGCATCCTATCCTTTGCTGCGTGTGGTAGCTTGTAGTTGTCCCCCCCTGCACTTTCATTATTTCAATCATAACATACCGATAGCTTAGCCATACTTTGTTCAGAGTCATAGGGGTTACTTCTTTGAATGCATCATCAATTGCCTGTAACAGTTCATCTACTGTCTTAGGTGCGTGCTGCTCTTTCAAAGATTGTATTGCCCTAAAAAAACCTAGGTCTAGGATGTTAAGGTCTGGAGAATTGGATGGCTGGTTAGTAAGTGTGATACTAAACCCATCAGCCATGGAAGCAGTCATATACTGTGCATCAGCCTGTGAAATGTGTGGGGTTGCATTATCTTGTTGTATTATGATTTCTTTGCTTAACTGTGGAGGCCATTTTTCCTTGATTGCTGGGAGGACTGTGTTGATTAACATGTCCCTGATCACTGTCTGATTTACCTTAGGGATAGGCTTGGTTTCCATGACACCTGCAGGTCTGTTTTTGCTTCTTCTTTTTGTTGCAACCTGTTCAACAAATGGAAACATGCCTATTTTTCCATCCCAAATGACCTCACCACTTTCTGAAAATAGGGGCCTACCCACTACACCTAGGGACATTACCTTAGTTATGAACCTATTAGATTTGCATTCTCTGTGTGGATCAACCTCCTCCAATGTAACACCGCTCCCAATTGAAACTTGGATTTATTAATCCATTGATATTAAAATTTGAGTGAAAGTACAAATACTAATTTCAACGAGGAAAATTAGTTAAAGTCGTGATTATATATTCACTTTGAAAACTAGTTACAAGTATATCGATCATACTAGAAATGATTAATTGATTAAATTGATACCGATTAAATAAATTGTGAGTCGGACCCCAAACATGGGGAGGGACAAACTAATATATATTCTTGGACCAAGATAAATTAAATAAAAGCCCAAGGATAAGGGACTATGTAAAATATAATTGTTTGGGCCGAATAAAAGGTAAAGAAATAAGACGAGAGACTATTTGAGTCCACTTACTAATAAATGAAACATAATTGGGTATGAGCCCGAATATTGGGGAGGACCATCCAATACATTTTAGGATCGACCTACTATGGTCTTCTAGCCAAAAATGATATAAATAAATGAATAAAAGTCATTTAGGCCCAACCGAGATATATCAAGTAACCAAAGTGGCATTTTCCCCAACTTACCGAAAATAGCGAGTATAAGGGTGAAGGGTTCCCTACACTTTAATTCGGGGTATCCCATATAAAATGTAACCCATAATAAACGGGAGGATTAAGTTATAAATAGCTTCGGGCCGGATTAATTAATAGGAGGCAGCCCACGAATCCAACCCAACTAAAATGGCCCAACTTTCCTAAAATAGAAGATAAGGGAGGAGCCCCTATCTTTCTCTCATTTTGTGAGTGGCTCGTGTGAAACCAAGAGAGGGAGTGAGGAGGTCAACCAAGAGCTCAAACAACCTGAGGGAAGAAGGTCAAGAAGAGGGGCAATCCGAGAGAAAACGAAGCCTAGCGGTAAAAACCTCGTAGCTCCGGTTCTTGTTATTTCTTTTTATATAGTTTTCATATATGATTTTATAGAAATCATATGATGGATTCTAGGGGATGTTCTACACGTTTAAAAGTGTAGAAATATGATATAAAGTGTTGGTAATTAACTTAGAAGAGTTGTTGAATCGATAGGAATCGAAATCGCCGGAAACCGCCACTTCTAGGTGCTGTTTTCGTGCAGCAGAACCCGAAAGCCGGGCAGCTTTTGCAAAAGCCGGGCGGCTTTTGTCCTCTGCCAGCCAAGGTGGATTCAGATCATTCCCGATCGAAGGTTTAACGACGGGGCTTCAATAGGCAACCTTGCTGGACATATTTAAGGTGAGGATGGCTGACTATATTGTCTATAACTCGTGAGTTGAGCATGAGATTACCTAAGTAATCAAATTATGATTTTGATGGAATTAAATGATATACTCCAATGTGAATAAATGTGTTGCTATGTGGTCATACAAATTGATACATGATATTACTAAGGTGGATAAGCAAAGGCATTATGCATGAGGGGAGAAATCCTTGAAATATATTAATTATTGAATTGATATAGAGGATTAGCATGATATAGACAAATGTGGATAAATGTGTGATTCCATAAGATCTAAAAAGGGATATATGGATACCTATGTGGATAGGCAAAATGATTAAATGTGAAGTAAGGAATACTTGAGTTATTGACATGATCAAAGTGATATAAATCCGTAGTGATTAATTGTATGTGCTATCTATAGTATTGAATTAGATAGGCATGAACTTAGAATGAGTGATGGACTATGGTCACACTCAAAGGAAATGGTGGAGTCTACCTAGACTATATGAAGGCAGCCCGGGGAGTCTTGATGAAGACTAGCCCGAGGTTGATAGATTATGATTGCTCGTGTACAATGAGTATACGAGGATATATATATATACGGGGTGAGTAAGCCCTAACGAAATAAAGGATATTACGCGGGGTGTGTAAGCCCTACACGAATAAAGCATTACGCGGGGTGTGTAAGCCCTAATGAATAAAGTATTACGCGGGGTGTGTAAGCCCTAATGAATGAAGTATTATACGGGGTGTGTAAGCCCTACATGATAAAGTATTACGCGGGGTGTGTAAGCCCTAAATGAGTAAAGTATTACGCGGGGTGTGTAAGCCCTAAATGAGTAAAGTATTATACGGGGTGTGTAAGCCCTACACAAACTAAGAATATACGGGGTGTGTAAGCCCTAAATGAATCAAAGATATAATGCTGGGGGTGTAAGCCCAAAATGAATGAATACACCCATAGGGTGGGTAAGTCCAACGTGGACGAGTACAAATGATAAATTGTGTAACCCTCTCGATGGAGTTGGGTTTAGACTAGGGGTGGGATAACCTCTCGATATTGCTATATGCAAGAATAGGCCAAGGGCTGTACAAGGGGAATTGTTTTGAAATACAAATGGACCTACGGGTCGGCTATTTGACTTGGTATATATATTCTATACAAGTGATTTGAAATGGGGTAGCTGTAGGTTATGCCCATAATATAGTATCACCCTATTTTGAGGGTCTTGTGTTTGAAACATGAATTATATTCAGTATAGTTGTCATTGTACTTGTCAAATGCTTCCAAGTACTGACCTCCCCTTCACGGGGGAGGCCACCTCACAGTTTCAGGTAGACGCTAGAGCTTGCTTCCTGTTCCCGTTGCTTCGGGTGATCCATGGAGAGAAGACGTGGTTCGTGCTTCTTCCAGTTCTATTTGAATATAAATAAAATAATGCTCATGGACTATTTTTAAATTATAAATGATTTGGGAGCCTGCGTGCTCATGTTCGCCCTGTGTGGCCTTTTACTTTTAAAAGTATTTGTATTCCGCTGCGTATATTTGAAATGCTTTATTTATGATTGTTTATGGATGTACTTGTGTGAATGGTATTCATGTACGCCTAGCATGGTTCGAGTAGGGTGAACTGCGGTTGCCTTAATCGGATTATGCGGCGGTTGTTAGCGCGTCCGGCCAGACCGGGGCGTGACATCCAAGGCCATGTAATATCTTTGAGAAGCTTTTGTCATGAA